ATTCCTGTTGGGGTATGTGGATGCCAGCGAAAAATAAATAATGCTGTAGTTAAAAGGTGTGGTATTTTCTAAGTTGTAGATCTAAAGGCACCCTACTTTCTTTGCTTTGCATACTTGCAGAGCACCATCCTTTCTGCTTTTCAGATATGAAAGCTGAAGCAGAGAGACATCTGATGAGGCTTCATCGCTGACTCACTGTTTGATGTTAGGCAGAAGGAGGAATGTGATCAGATACCATTGTGCAAAGCATCCACCAGACAACTCTGTCACTCGGGAGGAGAAGCAACTCCTGCTCCTGAGCAGGCCGGGTTGGCAGCCCAGCTGTCCTGCCCACAGCTGGCTCCCTGCCGTCTCCGAAGCGGGGGGAACCCCTCACCGTCCCCTGCCCCACTTGAGCTCTGCCGAGGCCACGCAGCGTGGGCACAGCAGCAGGGGACAGGTGACGTCGCCTTTGAAATCGCTCTTACGCCACGTGCAGACGGAGGTTCAGGGCTCTGCTCGTGCTAGCAGGGTCAGGCTGCAGCCGGGCGCACCGCTGGCGGGGCGTGCATGGGTGCGCACGGGTGTGCACGCCTGGAGTTCTTTCTCACGAGATGGTGCAACCAGCCGGTGGGGAACTGGTTAAACAGCGTGAGCTCCTCGGCTGCCTGGGTTTGGCTGGCGGTGTGAGGCAGGGCAGGATGTCACCGGGAAGCAGGCATGTTTTATTAAACAGAGTATCAAAGTGGGCTAAAGTCTCTTATTATGAATTGTAACGTCCACAAATTTTGCCACTTCCAAATAGTTTCCACCTACATATTCCTCCCACTGCTACACTGAGTGCTGGCAAACATCTCCGCTCAAAGAGGGGAATGGCTTTCATTTGAAAAGTCCTCGGGCAAGTTTCACTGAGCGGTGCCAGCGTCATACCCGCAGCTCTCACGTGCCCGGCAGCGACCCAGGGTAGTGCCGGAGGGAGGGCCCTTCGCTTGCCCAGGACTCCACAGAGACCACAGCTCTCGCTAGGTTTTCCCAGTGTTTTATCCAAGCAGTGTCCATGGTAGCCTAAACCAATGTAATTAAGCAGCGATCGGTGCACGTACTCGCAATATTAAATCTCGACTCATTCTAAAGTGCGGATGATTCCTTTCATCGCGGCAGCGAGCGTGGCCAGCTGTGCTATTGAGATAGTGAGTCACACGTACACGCAGCTGAAACCACCAGACTTCACACTAAATTCAAGCTTTTGCAACTACCTGCAGGCTACCAGAAGGACAAGGCAGAGCCCTGGTGGGTGACAAACCATTCCTCAGAGCCTATGCTCTTAAGTCACACCGTGTCCCTTTCGGGATCCTTCCTGCAGCTGATGGGTGAAGGCTCTCCTACGCGTGCCTTAGTACAGTTGGGAAATCAGACGTGCAGGTCTCCTGGGAGCTGCTGATCCTGAGCACTCCTGGCTCGATACATCCGACACTGAACAAGATGCTTAAGTACCGCAGACCTCAGGCTGCAGTAAGGCGGTGGGTGTTAGATGGAGGTACCGTCCTGTGTAGCTGACAGCACCCTGCTGCCCACGAGGACCTTCAGGTCCATCCCAAAGGCTGGTGCTGTGGCTGGAGATGTGCCTGTCTCAGGGGAAGAAGAGCCACCACGTTTACTGAGCAAAGGCTGGGCAAGGAGCGCACCCTGCTCCCCTGCTCTCTTAGAGGCAGTTTGGCTCCCACTGAAACTTTTATTTCGGCAAAAAGTAATGGGTATTAATTATCAAGGCCTTGAGGTCGTCCATCAGATGCTGAGGGCTAACCGCGTCCGTGCAGCGCCTCCCGCATGGCATAACCTCAGCGTCCAGCCTTAGCTGCTGGGCCAAGACATGGCTGTTCTTTCACCTCCGGTGCCAGTAACCTGAAACGAGATTGCTGGAAATGAGAGAGAGGGAGAGTCAGCGATTTGATTACAGGCCACAGGCACATGCCTGGCCTTCATGGATATATTAAGTAAGAGACATTTTAAAACAAAACCACCCTCAGTAACCTTATCGTACGCTTGAATCCACAACCCATCTGTTAACTCCCAGCGCTGCCCACATAGGCTCCGACCAGGCGTCGGTGCCAGGGATTTTCGGAACGTTTCCCCCCAAATCGCTGTGGTCAGAAGGGGACAGTCGCGGGGAAGGGGCAGGTCCAGGAGCTCGGCCCCCCCAGCCTGCCTTCAGCACACCTTCCAACCGGCCCCCAAACCCTCGCCTTTTACTGCGTCTGTAAATAGCTGCAAATCCCCCTTGGACACGAGCTGCCGCTGTCCTGTGACTCTCAGCCCTTCTGCAACAAGCATTCAGGAGACCTGCTGCTCGACGAATGGCTTTAGAAAATGAAGCCTTTTTAAACATTTTGCTACTGCCTTAATCATACATTGTAAAGGAACCCTCCATGTAGAAATAATTCAGCAAACAAAATCAAGAAGGCAAATTGATGATTGCATCAGCCCTAGCTTATGAAAACTGATCCCCAGGAAAATGTAATTCAACTCTCCAGCAATCTAACTTGATGCCCAAGAATGTAATAACTTCATTTGGATCCTCTTTTTAGGGGGACTCCTAAATCCTTGGCAACGTCCCTTAAGGTCATGACTAAATCCTGATATGGAGAATTGTTTGGCAAGCACGAGAACAGTAAAAGGGCTAAATAATTGGGGATTACCTCTGACCCTGATTTGTAGCTCACCACCCACTGCAGGAATGTACCGAATATCTGAAAGAGCATGCAGGAGTCAGACAATTCATGGGCATGAAACTGTCCACGTACATTTGGAGTCTGCAACTTAAAATGCAGAGCAGGTTGGCTCCAAACCTCATTTTTCATTAGCAATCAGTTGCAGCAAGCTCTATTTCTGTTGCCTTGGTCAGAGGGTCAGTGATGGGACAGATTAAAAACTGTACATATTTTTTTTCCCCCTTTGTTTGGAAAATAACAGCTTGGGTCTTCAGGGCAGAGAGAGAATGAACCATCTGGTTCACTGCCCGCTATTTAGGCTGGTTACTTTCCCCTGAACTGCAGGAAGGGACAAACACATCAGTTGCATCTCTTCTGACCGTTATTGCTGAATTTGTTCGGCGCCTGTATGGAAGACAGTCTCTGCTCTGAGAAGTCCACAGCCCCGAGCTGCGATCCTGCCCCCGTTTATACTCAGTGCTCCATTTTCAGTCCGTAAGTCCTCTCCTCCGCGGTGGGCTGGGTCTGCAGCATCACAGCGGACCCTCAAGATCAGTGAGCAGGTCGCGGCCACACACGCCAGGTTTGCACACTCAGACGCAAAGTACCGAGAAGACCATATTGAGTGGGACAACGTAAGCATCTGCTCCTGGGGAGCTCCGTGCCACTGATACAGCGCTGCGTTGTTTATGCTGGAGATGCAGCTGGGATCTTGTGAAGAGCTTTTTGGTTTTTAGCAACCTTACATTTACGGCTAGCAGATTTCTGCGAGGCTCTGACTTCCCTTAGGATTCCTCCTGGTAACGACACGCGCCTTCAGATGGCGGTGAGCCATAAAAGGCCTGTCTCCATCGCCCGCATAAAATCTCTTTGTGCTCTCACGTAATACCTCCTGACCTCAGGTTCCTCCCGACGTGGAGCGGACCAGGACTCTCCGAGGCGATAGCAGAGGCTCTGTGCTGGAGTTCTGCTATTACCTTATCTTGCTAAATGCGCCTTTTATCTGATGAGCTTGCCTCTACTTGTTCAGCATTCGGCAGGGAAAATGACCATAAGCCCTTCAAGAGAAGAGGGTTTTTTTGGCAGGTACACACCATTATCATCCTGCTCAGCGTTTTGCAACAGCTGGCATCCAAGAATTGCAGATGCTTTGCAAAAGCATGAGGCGTCCTAAACTTCTCTGCGATGCTGGCATTTATCTGTAGCCATTTCATAGCGGCTCTCGGTTATTTTGTCGCGTTTCCAAAGCTCCGAGGCTGCAGATTTAGTTGGGCTCTGCGTTTACGCCTCTTTTGGGTTGGGGGGGGG